GCGATGAGGTCGCCCCTCAGCCTCCTTTTCTCCAGGCTAAACAACCCCAGTTCCCTCAGCCGCTCCTCAGAAGACTTGTGCTCCAGACCCCTCACCAGCCTCGTTGCCCTTCTCTGGACACGCTCCCGCACCTCAACATCCTTCTTGTAGTGAGGGGCCCAAAACTGAACACAGTATTCGAGGGGCAGCCTCACCGGTGCCGAGTACAGGGGGACAATCACTTCCCTACTCCTGCTGGCCACGCTATTTCTGATACAAGCCAGGATGCCATTGGCCTTCTTGGCCACCTGCCGGCACACTGCCAGCTCATGTTCAGCCGGCTGTCGACCAACACCCTCAGGTCCTTTTCTGCCGGGCAGCTTTCCAGCCACTCTTCCCCAAGCCTGTAACGCTGCATGGGGTTGTTGTGGCCGAAGTGCAGGACCCGGCACTTGGCCTTGTTGAACCTCATACAGTTGGCCTTGGCCCATTGATCCAGCCTGTCCAGGTCCCTCTGCAGAGCCTTCCTACCCTCAAGCAGATCAACACTCCCGCCCAACTTGGTGTCGTCTGCAAACTGACTGAGGGAGCACTCAATCCCCTCCTCCAGATCATTGATAAAGATATTGAACAAGACCGGCACCAAAACTGAGCCCTGGGGAACACCACTTGTGACTGGCCACCAACTGGATTTAACTCCATTCACCACAAGTCTTTGGGCCTGGCCATCCAGACAGTTTTTTACCCAGTGAAGAGTATGCCTGTCCAAGCCATGAGCAGCCAGTTTCTCCAGCAGAATGCTGTGGGAGACGGTGTCAAAGGCTTTACTAAAGTCTAGGTAGACCACATCCACAGCCTTTCCCTCATCCACTAAGTGGGTCGCCTTGTCATAGAAGGAGATCAGGTTAGTCAAGCAGGACCTGCCTTTCATGAACCCATGCTGACTGGGCCTGATCCCCTGGTTGTCCTGAATGTGCAGCATGATGGCACTCAAGATGGTCTGCTCCATAACCTTCCCTGGCACCGAGGTCAGACTGACAGGCCTGTAGTTCCCCAGATCCTCCTTCTGGCCCTTCTTGTAGATGGGCGTCACATTTGGTAACCTCCAGTCAACTGGGACCTCCCCGGTTAGCCAGGACTGCTGATAAATGATGGAAAGTGTCTTGGTGAGCACTTCCGCCAGCTCCCTCAGTACCCTTGGGTGGATCCCATCCGGCCCCATAGACTTGTGTGTGTCTAAGTGGTGTAGCAGGTCGCTAACCATTTCCCCTTGGATTATGGGGGCTTCATTCTGCTCCCCATCCCTGTCTTCCAGCTCAGGGGGCTGGGTACCCAGAGAACAACTGCTCTTACTATTAAAGACTGAGGCAATTGGCAATTTCCATTAAGCCTAAGCTCTGAAATAACTTACATGTTCTCCAAACAACTGAAAACACATCCTACATCTAAATATTTGACTTCCCTGAAAGCACGACCATATCATGAACTTTCCTCACTAATTGCCTGTGGATCTATGGTAGACCACATCTTCTTGTACCTTGCTTCACAGAGACATTAATTGTAGGTAAAATGCCCTCTGAGCTTATTTAAAACAGACATAAGCTCACACCCTTCATTTTGAAAATGTGCTACAGAGGCACTAACAGTAGCACTTGCCAGGGTTTTCCTCAATTGACAAATATCCTTTTCCTACCCTCTTCAGCAGTAGCACCTAAAAGCTCCACTAAAGAACAGGAGTTACAAACAAGTAACTTTCCTTACTACAGGTAATTTACTCGCTTCGAGCGCTGTTGCTTCCTGGGGGTCTGTGGTCAATTAGGACCATGTCTCCAGGACCACTCAGTGCCTCACTTCCACTAGCAATCAGTGGAACACAAACCGAATGCGTTAGGGCAACTGATAGATGGTAAAATGATAGGTAGAACTGGTCCTTAACCAATACCCAGCGCTTCTGGTATTTCTCCATTGTTGAGTGCCTGATTTTACAGTATTAACATCCTCCGAGTGTGTTTTCTATTGGTGGCAGTGGACGGTCCCAGTATAAAAAGGCTGACTGCACTCACCTAAGCAGCTTGGTCACGGATGCCCAGACTGGACAGGGCCAAGCTAAAGCCATTCCCCTGAAGTTGGCAAAATGGAGTCCTGACGGTACAATGCAAGTTGTGTTAGTTCTGGGTTTGTTTCTTTTATGAAGGCTATGAAGATGTAAGCAAAGCCTGCTCAAGGGCATCTCTTTCAGCTTCCTCTTCAGTATTTTCCACCCTGATGATGTTTTAATCCAAAGGTGATGCCAAAAGGGTAACCATTTCCCTCCTTCAGGTAAAATACAGAAGGGCGAGAGAGTGTTGATCCATGCTGGAGCTAGCGGAGTCGGTATGGCAGCCGTTCAGCTGGTAAGACTGGCAAAAGCTATTCCCATTGTGACAGCAGGAACTCAAGAGAAACTGAAAGCTACAGCAAACGCCGGAGCAGCTGCGGGGTTCAACTACAAGAATGAAGATTTTAGTGAAAAGGTCTTGGCGTTCACCCAAGGTAAGAACCTCTATGTGAAAGACACTGTTACAGTTGAGGAGGAATGTGTACCTCCTAACGTATATGCACATATACTCAATTTCAACTGTCACCTCAGTTGGCGAGGGAGCAGACAGTAATGACCCTGTTAGCACAACCTAACATCCTGTTCAGCCCAAGAATCTGTCTTTCCTTAGTTCAATTGTGCTGTTTTCTGCGTGGACTCTCTTTGGCTTTGTGTTCATTTGGGACTTAAATTATTGTTGCCTCCACAAGGAACTGTGGGACCAAATCCTCGCACTTGTAGGTGTTTGAGTATGGGAACAAAACTTAGTTCTCTTACTGTTAGAAAAATTTAGCTTTTCTAAGCATTTGGGATGGTTTATGATGGAGTCTGCATCTGGATATCTATAATGATTCTTTTTTTGTGCCCGATTCTAGAATTCCTTACAAATCATTGTGCCAATTCCTAATTTCAGTAGAAAGATTTAAATAAGAATTGCAGGATTGATTCTGTACCTATAAAGAACAAAGCTTTAGTTTTGCCTGAAATTATCTTACCTTTAATGCAGCTCAACTACATTGCTGAAATCTTTTCTGTTTCTACTTGAGGTTCTGGAGTAGATATTATTTTAGATTGTGTTGGTGGCTCATACTGGGAGAAGAATCTCAACTGTCTGAGTACTGATGGCCGGTGGATTATTTATGGACTACTGAGTGGAGGTGAAGTACATGGAGATTTGCTTGCAAGGCTGCTTTCCAAAAGAGCGAGCATCCATACAACTCTATTACGATCACGAGACAAGGAGGCAAGTAATGGCTGTCAACAGTGTACACAGTTTGATCTTAAAATCGATGGTAATTTTGAGAGCTTTCTTTTGATACCAGTGTTAAAGCAGAATCTAACACATTATTACCAAAAAAGCACCACCTTGAACTGTTACTACGTACTTTGGAAAACACTGCAAAATTAAGTTGTAATTTCCCTTTTCTATTTTTAGCAAATGCCTCCCTTTTACAACTACTGAATCAGAGGAATGATACCCAGAACTTCTTGATCTACTTCACGAGTACCGTAATTTAAAGATTTAGCCTAAGAAAAAACAAAACTCAAGTGATCAGGCAACTTGACCAAGTCGCGGTGGGGAAGGAGAGAAAAACCTCTATTAAATCATTTTTCAAAGTAGGGACCGAGGCCATTTAGATGCCCAGAAATTACCAAGGAAATATCACTTTATGTGGTAAATTCGCAGGTATTACAGTAAAAGACAGCAGCGTAGAGCCCTAGGATAGATTCTGTCCATGGTCCAATACATAATATTCTCAAGAATTTTATCAGTTTGAGTTTAAATGGTTCTGCACTGAGCTTATACCACTTGTTTGGAGAATTTCATTCAATCAAAATATAATTAATCTAGAAGTTTTCTTCTTGTTTGTAATTTACACCTGTCAGATGTTTACACGTCTGTCTCACCATGAGAATGTCAGTCTCCCTGAGAACTGTGCACCTTTTGTGCGCTGTGCTTAGACATGCCTCTGTGAATGAAGTGATTGGAAATAATCTTTCATTTTTTCTTCAGTATAAGGAACGGCTGGTGAAAGCCTTCACAGAAAACGTGCTACCATATTTTTCTGGAGGAACCTCCCCTCATCTCCAACCACTTGTTGACAGCGTTTACCCTCTGCACGAGATTGCAGGGGCACACAGGATCATGGAAGACAACAAGAATATTGGCAAAATTGTCATCGAAGTGCCTGCTTCGTCTTAAAGAAAGGCCTGCTGCTGTAGTTGTTTTGGGGACAGAATTGTTACGGGTGTTTGACAAGCAAAGAATCTGCCATTTCTGCTTCCAAATCTGGAATGATTTATTGTGGGAGGAAGCCAAAAAGGAGGGGTAAAGCAAAGCCTTAGGGGACGCGTTTAATAAAAAGGCGCGTGCTGCAGCTGTAGCGTCGTGTCTCGAACGTGTAAGCAAAATGTCGGCGAGCGCTCCTCCATGTAGGAGGAAACCGCCAGGCACCGACTGCCAGTCCCAGCTCCGAGTTCCTTTACCGTCTGCTTTCCAGAGCTGTCCCACCCTGCGTTCATCACCGACCGCAGGCCAGGCCTCTTCACCCGACAGCAGCCTCCGGGCGGCGCCGAGCGGCGGCCGCGTTCCCCGCGCACCGCGGGTTCCCG